TTAGTGTCACATAAGTTATGGCTTGGGATGCTCTCATTCCACATCAGAGTGCCAGAACTGAGTCCCAGATCCACTTCTGATTACAGCTTCCTGCTATTGGACAATCTGTGAGGCAGCAGATGATGGCCCAAGTACTTGGGTCTCGGCCATCATTCTAATAGATACAAGCAGATATCTCATTGCAATTTAAGTTTTGTTTCCCCAGTCATTATTGATATTGAGTGTTTCTTAATATGCTTGTTGACTATTTTCTTGTATTCTTTTGAGAAATGTCTATTTAGGTCCTTTACCCATTTTAAATCAGGTTGTTTATTTTCTTGTTATTGAATTGTTTTGATTCCTGTGTATTTTAGATATTAGTTCTTTATTAGGTATATGGTTTGCAAACAATTTCTCCTGGTCCATGGGTTGCTTCTTCACTGGGTTGTTTCTTTTGCTATGCAGTTTTTTACTTCAGTGTAATCCATTTGTCTATTTTATGTTTATTGCCTATGCTGCCTAAGTTCCACCCAAGAAATCATTGCCCAGATCAAAATCCTGGTACTTTTCTCCTATGTTTACTTCTAGCAGTTTTAATAGTTTCAGGGTTTATGCCATTTGTCCATTTTGAGTTAATTTTCTGTACATGGTGTGAGATAAGGATCTAATTTATTTCTTCTACCTGTGGATATCCACTTTTCTCAACTGTCCTTTTCCTATTGTGTGATCCTGACACCGTTGTCAAAAATTAATTGACCTACTGATTTTTGTGTGTTGATTTTATATCTTTTATTCATTTATTAGTTCTAGATGTAGCTTAGGGAAACCTTTCAGGGTTTTCTTTACATAAAATTATGCTATTAGAAATAGAAACAATTTAACTGGGCTTGAGCCACTGCTGCTGAGCCCAGATTCCATTGCCGCATGCCCCTCATGTCTGCCCAACGTGTACTCCCAATTCCTTTTGGTTCCAGCTCCAAAATGGCAGCTCTCAAGGATCAGCTGATTCACAAACTTCTGAAGGAGGAACAGGTCCCCCAAAATAAGATCACGTTTGTAGGGGTTGGTGTTGTGGGCATGGCCTGTGCCATCAGTATCTTAATGAAGGACTTGAGAGATGAACTTGCTCTTGTGGATGTCATGAAAGATAAACTGAAGGGAGAGATGATAGATCTGCAACACAGCAGCCTTTTCCTTAGAATCCCCAAAATGTCTCTGGCAAGGACCACAGTGTGACTGCCCCTCCACGCTGGTGATCATCACAGCTGGGCACGTCAGCAAGAGGGAGGAAGCCGTCTGAACTTGGTCCAGTGTAACGTGAGCGTCTTTAGCTTCATCACTTCTCATGTTGTCACATACAGCCCCAACTGCAAGGTGCTTCTTGTTTCCAGTCCAGTGGACATCCTGGCCTACGTGGCCTGGAAGATAAGCAGCTTCCCAAAAACCGTGTGACTGGAATTGGGTGCAATAATTCCATTATCTGATGGAAAGGCTGAGAGTTCCCAAGTTAAGCTGTCGCGGCTGGATCCCTGGTGAGCATGGAGATTCAAGTGTGCCTGTATGGAGAGGCGTGAATGTTGCTGTTGTCTCCCTGAAGACTCTGCACCCAGAGTTAGGCACTAATGCAGACAAGGAACAGTGGAAACAGGTTCACAAACAGGTGGCAGACAGTGCTTATGAGGGGATCAAACTGAAAGGCTGTACACCCTGGGCCATTGGACTGTCTGTGGCAGATTTGGCAGAAAGCATAATGAAGACTCTCAGGAGGGTGCATCCAGTTTCTACCATGGGTAAGGGGCTCTCTGGAGAAAGGATAATGTCTTCCTTAGTATTCCTTGCATCTTGGGACAAAATAGAATCTCAGCTGTTGTGAGGGTGACTCTGGCTCCTGATGAAGAGGCCTGTTTGAAGAAGGGTGCAGATACACTCTTGGGAATCCAAAAACAGCTGCCGTTTCAAAGTCTTCCAATGTCATACCACTTCACTGCCTAGACTGCAACAGGGTTTTAGTTGTAGGTTGTGCATGTCGTTCTTTTTAATCTGCCCTATGATTAAAGCAGTGACATTATGATGGCGTGAGGAGGGAATAACTGTCAATTTCCTGAAGTTAGAAATAGAATGGTTTACAAAATCCTACAGCTACATCCAGGGGCTGGTGACGCTTATTTTGTGTCATCCTAAGCTGGTTAGTGTAAGATAGTTCTCCACCTCTGAGGTGCCACTGCCAATGTTGCATATGTTCTATTTGCCCTTCCAACTAGACCGTGTGTTTACTGTGTGCTGCGTAACTTCTGGTTCCTTTACCAAATGTGCTTAGTCCACCTTTTTTTCCTAATCAGTCACAATCTGGGATCCAATGTTGTATAAACTCAATATTGTATGCCTTGAGCATAACTGTTCCAAAGGATCTTATTTTGTATATTATATGTATGAGTAGTGTACACTGCCATATAATGTAAAAAGAAGGATATATAAACAATGCAACCAGTTATCCACGTGTCATACCAACTAAATCACCAAATAAACCTTGAACAATGAAAAAAAAAAGAAACAGAGCCGGCGCCGTGGCTCAATAGGCTAATCCTCCACCATGCGGCGCCGGCACACCGGGTTCTAGTCCCGGTCAGGGCGCCGGATTCTGTCCCGGTTGCCCCTCTTCCAGGCCAGCTCTCTGCTATGGCCAGGGAGTGCAGTGGAGGATGGCCCAGGTGCTTGGGCCCTGCACCCCATGGGAGACCAGGAAAAGCACCTGGATCCTGGCTCCTGCCATCGGATCAGCACGGTGCGCCGGCTGCAGCGGCGGCCATTGGAGGGTGATCCAACGGCAAAGGAAGACCTTTCTCTCTCTGTCTCTCTCTCACTGTCCACTCTGCCTGTCAAAAAAAAAAAAAAAAGAAAAAGAAAAAAAAAAAGAAAAAAAAAAGAAACAGTGTAACTGCTTCCTTTCCAGTTAGGATGCCTTTGATTTTTTTCTTGCTTAATTTTTCTGGCTGGGACTTCCAGTGCTATGTTAAATAGAAGTGACTAAAGAGAATGTTCTTATCCTATTCCTGGTCTTCAAATGGAAGTTTCAACTTTTTGCCATTAATACTTATGTGAGCTGTGGGTTTGTCATACATGACCCTTATAATGTTGTGCATTCCTTTTTCTTTGTCTAATTTGTTGAAAATTTTTATTGAGAAAGGAGATTGGATTTTGTTGAATGCCTTTCTTGTGTCTAGTAAGATGATCATATGGTTATTTTCTTCATTCTGTTAATGTGGTATACCACATGTGTTAACTAGCAATTTTAAATCATCCTTGCATCCCAGGGAAAAAGCTGACTCAATCATGGTGAAAGATCTTCTTAATGTGCTGTTAAATTAGGTTTCCTAACATTTTGTTGAGAATTTTGGTATCTATGCTCTTCAAAGATACTGATTTGTAGTTTTCTTGTGTTTTGGTCCAGCTTTGGTATAAGGGTAATGTGGAGAAAGGCTCTGTTTTTGAAGCATTCTTTCTAATGAGCATTTTCTATATGTGTTTTTATGTAAACTGTATTAATTAATAACACAATCTATGTACCTTGTAGAAGAATTTATGTGCCTCACATTATATAACTCCAAATATAATGATAATTTCAAAACTATCAGGAGAAATGTTAAATTTCTCTTGTGTAAAGTAATTAAATTATTATTTGCTTCAGTTTTATCTGTTTACATAATTAATTAAGGTGATTATAAATTTGAACTTTTGTACAATGATTTTTAAGTACCCATAAAAATTTTTTCAGTCTTAAAATGAGTTTTTGAAGCATTTAATTAAAAAAATTAGATTCAGGGGCCAGCACTGTAGTATAGCTGGTAAAGCCACCACCTGCAGTGCTGACATCCCATATGGGCACCAGCTCGAGTCCCTGCTGCTCCACTTCCAATCCAGCTCTCTGCTATGGCCTGGGAAAGCAGTAGATGATGGCCAAGTCCTTGGGCCCCTGCACCCACATGGGAGACCCAGAAGAAGCTCCTGGCTCCTGACTTGGGATTGTCCCAACTCCGGCCATTGTGACCATTTGGGGAGTGAACCAGCAGATGGAAGATCTCTCTCTCTCTTTTTCTCTCCCTCTGCCTCTGCCTCTCTGTAACTCAGCCTTTCAAATAAATAAATAAATATATTTTTAAAATTAGATTCAATAATTGTTTAAGGATTTATTTATTTATTTGAAAGGCAGGGTTACATACAGAGTGAGAGACAGACAGATATACCTTCTATCCGCTGGTTTACTCCCCAAATGGCCACAATGGTCATTCTTCAGGGTCTTCCACATGGGTGCAGGGGCCCAAGCACTCAGGTCATCTTCTGCTGCTTTCCCAGGCACATTAGCAAGATTGGAACTGAAGCAACCAGGACTTGAACCAGCGCCCATATGGGATGCTGGCACTGCAGGCGGTGACTTTACCCACTACGCCCCAGCACTGGCTCTGAGATTGAATTATTTTTAACATTATTTTTCATATTTAGTTCATATGTAGATATTATATACATACAAACTATTTTCTTGAAAGCAGGGATATAATATCATATAACATGGATTCATGACAAGGATAATAAAAATAAGAGTGATATATTTTATGTAGAAGGTATAATTCAGTGAAGACAATATTTATAAAAATCTATATACCCCAATAATATGGCATCCACACATTTTTATATTGTCTCACTATATATAAACTTCCACATATGAGATAAAATGTGTAATTTTTCTATGTTTGGGTTATTTCACTTAGCATAATGATCTCCAATTCCATTCATTTGTTGCAAATGTCAATATATTCTTTTTTATGGCTGAGTGGTAATCTACAATGTGTACATACCACATTTTCTCTATGCACTCATCAGTTGATTGACACCTAGGTTAAATCCATATCTTTGCTATCATAAAATTGTGTTAATCATACGTGAGTTAAAGAAATTGCTGCTAATTAAAAGAAATCAATAATTTTATGTTCTCAAATTCTGTTTTTGTCACCATTTTATGTTTCTAGGAAATCAGGTAGATGTCAGAGACCTAGAAAATGCTCTGAAAGACTTGTTGGTAGAAGTCACAGACGAGGAATATTCACATTTACTAAAATCTCTACCACTTGATGGTAAGGACTTAAGTAGATACATATTCTTCAAAGGGCGTTAGAGTGTTTGTGAGATTTTCTTCTAAAATTGTGCTAAATTATTGCCTAGTCTTTTAAAAATATTTTAAAGCTTTTAGAAGTACTAGCTTTGCCAATGAAAATTGCAGTTATTGTATTTTTGTGACAGTAAGCATAACTTTTGCTCATTGCTGTCAATACTGTGTGTGTGTGGTTGTCCTTGGTGTCACTAATGTTCCTAAGAGTTCTAGGAAGGATGGGAAAAGAAGGGTAAGGGTATAAAGAAAGAAAGACAAGAGTGAAGTCAAATGAAACATGTGTTCAGTTTTCTCCAGCTAATGATCACTGCCTTTTGTGCAAGTGAATGGATGTGACTCATTAAAGCTTTTCTCCAAACAAACCCCATTACTAATTGAGAGAAAAATAGATAAATTTCAGAGAAAATCATTTAAAAGTCTATCTTTTTTAAATTAGAGGAATAACTGTAGAACTTTGTCTATTCAAATCTCCTTTATTATTGTTCTATTGCCTCTTTTCTTACAGCTGAAGGAAAACTATACAAAAAAACATTGCTGGACAGTCTGAAGGCTCTCAAAAGTGAGTGTAACATATGAGGAAAAGGCAGAAAAAAAGATTTCTCCTGTTTTCATTAATGTGAATTTGCTTTTATGAAATTTAAAATCTGATATGTGTTTTTAATATTTACAAATATATTAGATACATTATGCTTTCATTGTATGAAAAAATGCCAGCCGGCGCCGTGGCTCAATAGGCTAATCCTCCACCTTGCGGCGCCGGCACACTGGGTTCTAGTCCCGGTCGGGGCGCCGGATTCTGTCCCGGTTGCCCCTCTTCCAGGCCAGCTCTCTGCTATGGCCAGGGAGTGCAGTGGAGGATGGCCCAGGTGCTTGGGCCCTGCACCCCATGGGAGACCAGGAAAAGCACCTGGCTCCTGGCTCCTGCCATCGGATCAGCGCGGTGCGCCGGCTGCAGCGGCGGCCATTGGAGGGTGAACCAACGGCAAAGGAAGACCTTTCTCTCTGTCTCTCTCTCTCTCACTGTCCACTCTGCCTGTCAAAAATAATAAAAAAAAAAAAAAATTAAAAAAAAGAAATGCCAACCCCCTTTTGAACATGCAATATGCTGATGTGAACAAAAGATAGTCAAAATGAGCTTCTACATTTAGTTTAAAGTTTACTCTCCTTACAGTTTTAGGAAGTCTTACTAGATGTTATACCTTCATGATTAAAGTGATAAGCATAACACAAATGAATTAATCAGGGACTTTTTTCACATCTCGGTGTATTTTTTAAATGATACTTTGTTTCTCATAAGGAGGAAAAGTTGATATGAATAACCTGAACTCATTCCTGGACAATATGGGCCTTAACCTCTCACAAAAAGAACTTGAAGATTTTTTACAAAACCTACCAGTTGATGGTGAGCATTATAGAGTAAAATGTATTCCTTTCAGGACAGCTTAGGTTTGAGAGCATCCATAGAACATTGGTAGTGCTGATTTGATATCAGTTGGACATTTTAAACAATCAAATGGCAGAAACCATATGATCATCTCAATAGATGCAGAATAAGCTGTTTTATAAAATTAATCATCCCTTCATTATTAAAACTCTCAACAAAGTACATGTAGGAGTAGTATGCCTCAACACCACTAAGGCCATTTACGACCAACCCCAGCTAACACCACTAAGGCCATTTATGACAAACCCCAGCTAACACCACTAAGGCCATTTATGACAAACCCCAGCTAACATAATCTCGAATGGGGGAAGGATGTCTACTTTCAGCACTCTCATTCAACAGAGCACTGAAAGGTTTAACCAGAACAATTAAACAAGAGAAAGGGCACCCAAGTTTGAAAGGAGGAAGTCACACTATCCCAGTTTACACAATTCTTTTTTTTTTTTTTTTTTGACAGGCAGAGTGGACAGTGAGAGAGAGAGACAGAGAGAAAGGTCTTCCTTTGCCGTTGGTTCACCCTCCAATGGCCGCCATGGCTGGCGTGCTGCAGCCAGCGCACTGCACTGATCTGATGGCAGGATCCAGGTACTTATCCTGGTCTCCCACGGGGTGCAGGGCCCAAGCACTTGGGCCATCCTCCACTGCACTCCCTGGCCACAGCAGAGAGCTGGCCTGGAAGAGGGGCAACCGGGACAGAATCCGGTGCCCCAACCAGGACTAGAACCCAGTGTGCCGGCGCCGCAAGGCAGAGGATTAGCCTAGTGAGCCGCGGTGCCGGCCACACAATTCTTTTAAAAGATGTATTTATTTATTTATTTGAAAGACAGAATTAGAGGAAGAAACAGAGAGATCTTCCGTACACTGGTTTACTCCCCAAATGATCACAATGGCCGGGACTGGGCCAAGAAGAAGCCAGGAGAGTGGCATGGGTAGCAGGGGCCCAAGGACTTTGGCCATTTTTCCCAGGTGCATAAGCAGAGAGCTGGAATGGAAGTGGAGCGACTGGGACTTCAACAGGTGCTCATATGAGATGCCAGTATTGCAGGTGAAGGCTTAACCCACTGTGTCACAATGCTGGTCCCTGGTATGATCTTATGTTTAGAAAACCTTAAACATTCCACAAAAAAAAAATAAAAAGAATTGTTAGAACTAATAAGCCAATTAACACATTTCAGGATAAAAAAAATCAAAATACAAATCAACAGTCTTTCTATACATAGTAATGAACTAATGAAGTACTTGAAAAAGAAATCGAGGGTGGGAAGGAGGATAGGGTGGGAAGTATCACTGTGGTCCTAAATATGCATATATGAAATACATAAAATTTGTACACCTGAAATAAAATTTTAAAAAAGAAATCAAGAAAGCAATTTTGTTTATAGTAACTACAAGAAAATAAAATGCCTAGGAATACATTTAATCAAGGAAATGGAAGAATTCTACAATGAAAACTACAAAACACTGAGGAAAGAAATTAAAGAGGATATACACAGACAAAAATGAATTACATCCCATGTTTTCATGGATTGGAAAAATTAGTGTTGTTAAAATGTCCATACTAGCCGGCGCCATGGCTCAATAGGCTAATCCTCAGCCTTGCAGCACCGGCACACCAGGTTCTAGTCCCGGTCGGGGCACCGGATTCTGTCCCGGTTGCCCCTCTTCCAGGCCAGCTCTCTGCTGTGGCCAGGGAGTGCAGTGGAGGATGACCCAAGTGCTTGGGCCCTGCACCCCATGGGAGACCAGGAGAAGCACCTGGCTCCTGCCTTCAGATCAGCGCGGTGTGCTGGCCGCAGCGCAAAGGAAGACCTTTCTCTCTGTCTCTCTCACTGTCCACTCTGCCTGTCAAAAAAAAAAAAAAAAAAAAAAAAAAAAAAAAAAAAAAGGAGGGGGGGAGCCCAGTCCAATTTAAAAAAAAAAAAATGTCCATACTACCCAAAGGATTTTATGGATTCAATGCAAGTCCTATCAAAATATCAATCTCTCTTAAAATTTGTATGGAACCACAAAAGACACTGAATAGTCAAAAAACCATGATCAAAAAGAACATAATTAAGGGGAAGACATTTGGTACAGTGACTAAGGTACTGCTTGGGGGACCAGTATTGTGGCATAGCAGGTGAAGCTGACATCAGTAACACTGGCATCCCGTATGTGCTGTTTTGAGTCCCAGCAGCTCCATTTTCCAATTCTGCTCCCTGCTAATGTGCCTGTGAGAAGCAGTGGAAGATGGCCCAGGTGCTTAGGCCCTTGCAGCCATGTAGGGGACCCAGAGGAAGCTCTTGGCTTCTGGCTTCAGTCTGGCCCAACCCTGGCAGTTGCAGCCAGTTGGGTATTGAACCAGTGAATAGAAGATAGGTATCTCCCCCACCCTCTCTTTCTCTCTCTGGAACTGTGCCTTTCAAATAAATAAAAAAATAAATATTAAAAAAAGAGATACTGTATGGGACACCCATATCCCATAGTGTAGAGCCTGAGTTACAGCCCTTGCTCTGCTTCTGATTCCAGCTCTCTGCTAATGCACACTCTGGGAGCCAGGAGGTGATGGGCCAAGAATTTGGACCCGGGCTATCCACAAGGGAGAGCCAAATTAAGTTCTGGGATCCTCCAGCCTGGTCCAGCCCTGGTCATTATAAACTTCTGGAGGGTGAACCAGTAAATGGAAGATCGGTGTGTGTGTGTGTGTGTGTGTGGGTGTGTGGGTGTGGTCTGTCATTCTGCCTTTTGAATAAATATAAATAAATAAATAAATAAATAAATAAATAAATAAATAAAGTTTTAAAAGGGGCTGCACACAAAGAATGAAGGAATCTGATTCACGTAAGCATCATTGGATACAGGAAGAAATGGAAAAGTCTTACCTTCAAAGTGCTGGAGAAAATAACTTTGAGCAGCTAATAGACATTTTCATACATACAAGAACACAGACAATAGCCACATACTTTTTCTTTTTTTAAAAAAGATTTTTATTTATTTTATTTAAGAGGTAGAGTAACAGACAGTGAGAGAGAGAGAGACGGAGAGAAAGGTCTTCCTTCCATTGGTTCACTCTCCAAATGGCTACAAAGGCCCAAACTGTGCCGATACGAAGCCAGGAGCCAGGTGCTTCTTCCTGGTCTCCCACACGGGTGCAGGGGCCCAAGGACTAGGGCCATCCTCTACTGCTTTCCCAGGCCATAGCAGAAAGCTGGGTTGGAAGTGGAGCAACCAGGACTAGAACTGGTACCCATATGAGATGCTGGCACCACAGGCGGAGGATTAACCTACTGCACCACAGTGCCGGCCCACCACATACTTTTTCTAAACAAATTACCAGAAGATGCATTTTAATAAAAGAAAAGCAAATATAGGAGGAAATAGTGAGATGCATGAAACAAAGTAGAGAAAAGAACTTAGAAGAACTTATGCTTGTATGTTTTTAGTATATAATGGCATGATGTGATGCTGTCTAGAACTAAAATGCAGGATGATAGCAATGTTCTAGTCGTGTGCAGGTGTCACAGGTGGAGAAAGGCAACAGTCTCATTGTTGGGCTGTGACTGCTCTGTGTCTTACAGTTGATGGGAAGGCGCATCTGAAAAATGTGACACAGCGAATGAAAGATTTTACAGGTGAGTTTCTATAACACTGAAACCTATTATGTTTTTACAATAAATTATAATTAGATATCATTCTCCTAATGTGTTGTTTTTATTAATTTAGCCATTTTATCCAGTTATTGTGAAATATTTCTTTCTGATAAAATTCATTTGGTTATTGAATAATCTATGTATTAAAAATAAACAACAGAACATTGTCTCAATAATAAATAAATGTACTGTCCTTGTAAATTTGTATGTTGATTATATGTTAATTGTGTGTTATTTGTTAATTGTATGTTAAATTTCAGCGAAGTGCATTAATAAGTTAGGTAGAGTTTTGGAAAGCTCAAGATAATGTTTTTGTGAATGGTAATTTTATATCAGTGTAATATCTTCTACCAGAATTATTTCTATTGATAATTCATTATACAATTTCTTAACAAGATTTCATTCTGTATATTATCCCCAACATTAAAAGCCATTAACTTCTATTAGCACTTTATATTTGCATCTTTCATTTTGCCTTTGTTCTTTAACCTTAGATTGAAAGTGGTGCTGTATAAACAATTTTAAGTATAAAAAAGCACATTCTGAATGTTTATAACACAAAGAAATAATAAATATCTGAGGTAATAGATCTGTCAGTTACTCTGATGTGATCAATATACATTGTATAAATTTATGTCATACTATATCACATAAATATGTAAAATTATTATGTATCAGTTCAAAATAAAATTTTTAACACTTAAAATGTACCATCATAGATCATATAGGTTAATAACATTTTCTTATTGATATCTCTGAAATATTGTCATGAATTTCTAAAATTTCTGTCTTTTCAAAGGAGAAAAGATCAATGCCGGTGATCTGAAAAATGTTCTTAAAAACATGGGGATAGAAGTCAGTGATAAGGAATGTGCGGAACTGCTAGCATTACTACCAGTTGATGGTGAGCTGCTGGAATTACCACCAATTAGTGGTTATTGTGGCCTCCAGAAAGTTTACTTTTATGACTCTACTTTTGAAATTTTTATTTAAAGTGTGTTCAGATATGACCTGAACTCATCCTCCAGCTCTTGTTTGCATTTGAACAATCTTTCTATTACTCTGAAACAATTCAAGTGCAGACTTTAACCCCCAAAACAATCCTCTTCCACAAAACCATTGTTGAGAAAGAAAGATGTTATTGATGATTTTGCAAGGGAGAGGAAGCGGGGTAAACATTGCAAAGACCTCATGAGAAATTTCTGTCCCCTCCCAGAGTCACTTGAGTCTGTCCCCTGAGAATTCCCTTTTTGTGAACTTACCCCTCACAGAGCTAACCATGGATTCTTCCCCTGTTTTTCTTAATTCCTAGAAGGATGCCAATTTCATTGGTTAGTAAATAACATCTATTATGAGTGTTCGTTCATTTTCTTTCTTTCTTTCTTTCTTTCTTTCTTTCTTTCTTTCTTTCTTTCTTTCTTTCCCTTTCTTTCTCTCTTTCTCTCTTTATTTCTCTCTTTCTCTCTTTCTTTCTTTCTTTTTATTTGACAGGTAGAGTTATAGACAGTGAGAGAGAGAAACAGAAAGGTCTTCCTTCCATTGGTTCACCCCCCAAATGGCCGCTACGGCTGAAGCTGTGCCGATCCGAAGCCAGGAGCCAGGTGCTTCTTCCTGGTCTCCCATGCGGGTGCAGGGCCCAAGGATTTGGGCCATCCTCCACTGCCTTCCTGGGCCACAGCAGAGAGCTGGACTGGAAGAGGAGCAAGCGGGACTAGAACCTGGCATCCATATGGGATGCCGATGCTGCAGGCGGAGGATTAACCAAGAGAGCCACAGCGCCAGCCCCTGTTTCTTTCTTTAAACACAAAAGCTCGGGGCCAGCACTCTGGCGTAGC